ACACACACACACACACCCCTCGAGTATTTGTGAACTGTCTGGCTGCTAGACACACTCATGCAGCCTGAGCACATTTACCAGCCAGGCAGTTCGAAACTACAAACTGATACATCTAGTAATAATACAACTTACTTAATGAGAAAATATCAGACATGTTCTATGTCTGGTATTTTCTCAGTTTCTTTTTTATGTGTTTATATTTTTGGGCTGCAAAAAGCAGTATTGGAAAAAAAAAGGTTCCAACTAAAGTAAAAAGTTTGGGAAACCCTGGTCTAACCAGCTTTCTGTCTGTCTTACAGCCCATTTATCCAATCCATATTCCTTAACTTGCTGGCAACAATATTGTGGGTGACCATATCAAAAGCTTTGCTAAAGCTGGCACTGGGGGTTTTGGGAGGACCAGAAACCACTTATTTGAATATTCATCATTTGATAAATGAATATGCAAATATGCAAATGAACATTACCGGTCCTCCAAAAGTTTGTGAATGGATTTACTGGTCCCTGTGTCAAAAAGTTTGGGAACCCTGGTCTAGACTGCATCCAGTTCTGTCGACAAAGCAAGCTGCTCGGTCGACATGGGAGTGTAGACGCAAAGGACAGTGTAGATGCAATAACGCCTTCTATCAACAGAACTCTGTCGACAAAAGGCGTTATTCCTCGTAGAATGAGGTTTACCACTGTCGACAAAACTGTCGATGTTATGCCGACAGAACTCGGCGGTAGTGTAGACGCAGGTTGTGTAGTCTAGACACACCCATATAAACCAGGTGAGCCCCTGGCGAGCCGCCACCACTATATTTACCTGTGCATCTGCAGGTACGGGCGACTGCAGCTCCCGTTGGCCACAGATAACCATTCCAGTGACAGTCTAAGACAGTGGTGAGCAACGTGCAGCCCGAGGGCCACGTGTGGCCCCTGGGGTTCTTTGTGGCCTGTGAGACATTCTGTTTAGTGTTGGCCACGTGCAAGATTCCGCTGGTTTCCATCCACATCCTATCGGTATTACGTGTGTAAAGCAAGGGCCAGTGGAGTGAGGGGCGGGCAGACTGCACACAGCACTGACTGTGAGAGCTGGGGGCTCCCTCCGCAGCCCGTCCCAGCGGCTCCGGTTCAGTCAGCACCGCCCGCAAATTCTAGGAACACAAGTGCAGTTACCAAAACTAACTGCTCCTGGAGCCTGTCTTGGGTACAACAATCTCACGACCCACGGAGCTGGAGGAGGCCACTCATGCAGCCCTCGCACTAGCTTAGGTTGCCCACTGCTGGTCCAGGATGTAGCTTAGCGCTACCCCAGTGAGAGCATGGTAAAAAAAGGGGGTAAAATAACCTGACCTCCCACAATGAGAAGTGGGTAAACCGGCCTTTCCCCTCAACTCCAGCACCTCACTGCTCTAAGTGCGCTTTGGTATTGCTGCTTTCCATCTTCCTCCCCACCTCCGTGGGGGATTCTTCAGTGGGGGCCATGCTGGCCTGACTCATCTAGCTTGAATCCAACTCTTCAGCAGGGGCTCTGAGAAACCTCCCTTGCCGAGATTGCTGGCTGACAGTTTTC